CTAACAACTATCAAAAACTACAGCTTGTTATTTACTTGCGATGAAAATCTATTGAAAAACCATGAACATCCACTATCTTTTTTGAAATTGGCTAAAGTTCACGAACATCGTTATTACACATGTCTTTTGCGTCGAGTAATAAATGTTTCGAATAGGAATCAAAAGAGATATTTGATCTAAAATAAAATAAATGCGCAAATAAAGATCAAATAATGTACAAAAATAATATTTGACGTCAACAGCGAGAAACATTTTAACATGAAAAATAGAGAACGAACAAAAACAAACTTTTGATTAATGAGAAATTTTTTTGGGCGTCTCTTATAAGAAAATCTATTTCTCTGTTTTCAACATATATTTGTGATTTTCATAACTTCTATATTGATAGAAATGATAATAATATTTTCATCTTAGTTAACAGAAAAATTGAATTAAGCGACAGTATTAACAAAACCACTGTATATCGGTGCTATCTTGATGAAAGTGTCGATATGAGTGTTTAATCTTGCATGATTCAATGATTTATATTATCTATGAGAAATAAAAGCTAATGAAAATATATAAACGATATAGAGTTTCTTTCATTTATCTTATTGAAAACTTGTACTGAAATGTTGACAATCTATTTCATAAGAAATATTTGACGTAGTTCTTTTCTTATCGATGTTACTTTTGTTCTCTCTGTTGACTTAAAACACATTACAATAAGTTGTAAGTATGTGAATGCATATGTGAAATTTTCAATGAAGAACGCAACACCCACACCTTAAACATGCTTCGATTTGACTCAAGTTTATATTAGTAATAACGGATTCAATATTATTAAGGTTTCAGAGTTTGAAGATATGAGTCTGTTTGACATAGTGATTCATTATTAAAAAAAAACAGTATATCGTATTGCTCGAAGATGCAAGTATTGATTCATTTAATATTTTCAACAAACTTTCATTTTATGATGAATATATATGTGGAGAGTGTCAGCTCAATGTTTTAGTTAGTAAAAATTGAAAGGATGAATTTGTATGCTTTTCACTATTGAACATACAGCATTGATATACTATAGACTTAATTTTTGAAAGATATTGATATCTTGCATGTGTATTTTCGAAATTCAAATAAAATCTTTTCCATGTGTTCATTTGTGTAGAATCGTTGATGGTCAAAATTGACAAAGAGAAGTAATTGTCTACTAATGTAGTTAGAAAAATGATGATATATATAAAATGAAAGAATGTCTAGAGAAATACATATGTTCCCTATGTTTGCGTATTCGATGCATTTATTGTAATTACATATATTTATATTGAACATTTTTTTAAATAACTATCGCTTTTGCTAATCCAATAATTCTAAAACGTACACAAATTTATTCTTCTCCAATTTTTATTAACTAAAACACTGACAAATGATTTATCATCTCTACATGTATGCTCACTATGAAATGAATATTTTACGTCTTTGAGCAGGAGCACATGCTGTTTTTCAATAATCAATCACTATGTCAAACAGATTCATATCTTCGATAATAAATAATGATCTATCTTCAAACCCTGAGAACTTAATAAGTACTGAATGCCTTACTACTAATATAAATTTGAATTAGATCGAAGTGTGTTTAATCAAGATATTGAATATATTAGTACAGTACACCAGCAAAACTAGTAATAGTAATAATCATATATCTCTGTTCAGGTGGCTTGGAAAATCAAATCCTTACAGTATTCAATAACTCATTGAGGTCTATCATGTGAGTATATATATCCAATCGGAAAGCGGTTGGACGTTTGCGGATGTTTTCTCATTAGTTACTTTTGAAAAAAAATATTTTGGAAATACTAAAGGTAAATTGAGCAATTCTATATTCGAGGCATACAAATTCTTTACTATGTCAGTTATTTGTTTTTTGTATTCCTCTAAGAAGAAGCGATATGAAAAAAAACAGCAAACTATATATTTTGTCTTGTATTATTAGTTGTTTTAATATTGTAGACTAATATAAGTAATGAACATTGTGAGGTAATAACAGTATACATTTAAGCTAGCAATCATACCTGACACGGATTTACATGGCTTTCTTTGTCATTTTATTTTTTCTAACTTTCAGTCTGCATTCTCTATATTTTATTCCTTTTTCGACTATGTTTTTTCTATGCTACTATATATATGGAAGTTCTTCTCATACACATAACTATCCTCATGCATGACTAAATTTTCTCTTCTACTAATATATGTGATAAGAGAGTATCGAAGAACGCAGAAAAACTGTCTGAGAATGACGGCTTGAGTGTAATACACTTATACTTCACAAGATTAAATATTCTTATCTAGAATGTAACAAGATATATTTTTTACTTTTGATAAGATAAGCAGATATGTAGTTTGTTTCATCTCTGATCAAAAGTCTTTTCTCTTTTCTGAAATACAATCTAAAACTCATGTTGAAGTATAGAAGCAGAAATTTCAACTCTCCACATACTGTTATAGATATAACCAAGAAATTCAAGTCAACTAGGAATGATGTATATATTGAACTTGATTACGTTCTTTATATAAATCTGGTTTTATTAAAGATCAAGAATATAATATTTAAAATAACATAATCCACATTATAGAGAGATAACAGTAATAGAAATGATTGGATAATATCATTTTTCTATCTAAAAATACAGACATTTATGCTGCGTTTTACAATTTACTATCACAGTAGATTCGAATAAACGCTGTTTTCTATACTACATCCATTTGATATCTATTGAATGTTTATAACAAAAATACTTTAAGCACTTTATTTTAGTGTAGCGTATGACTTATGACGAATTGCCTCAATGAATAAGATACTTCTTTCAGCACTATTGATCATTATCACAAATAAGTAACTTTGAAGATTTCTCTTTCATTTTGTTATTTCTGTTTAAGATCTGCTCATCATCTTACTGCTTTTATCCCTACTAAACTCTCTTTACTAACGATTCAACAATCAATCGGAACCGTTAAGTTGATGACATAGATCTAAATACACTCAAAGCAGTTAAATTAATAGCACAGTCAAAATCATGAATATATCTTCGTAGAGACTAGCTGATTGTTGAAAGACGTATATTCCTTATTGGAACAAATTCTAATCAGTCTTAACTATTCTGAAATCATGTACTCAAGACATTCTGTAATTAATATTCAGTAGAAACCGAGCAGATACAATATAGGTTAAAAGAGAGAAGAAAAAAGATTTTTTGTAGAGGCTCAAGTGAATAGTTAGATCTATTGATAGGCAGTGAGGTAGATAGTACTGCAGTTAGTGAATTAGACTAGTTAGGTAAATATGGTATGCGTATGAGTGTAAGAGAATCTATGGTTGTGAATATGAACGTTTGTCACTTTTTCATCCACTCACACCCTTGACAGTACCTCTAGAAAATTATTTTTTTAAGTCCAATCTTGTTAAAAACTTCATCATATTCGATATTCATGACATAAAAACTATTCTTCATTATGCTAGAAAACATATTTTATTTGGAACAATTTGTGATAGTTTTACTGAATTGATATCTATCAACATCAATCAAATAAATGAAACTGATGACATAGAATGTGAATATTGACCATGTAATCATATATATACTCGTGGTAATGGTTTTTGGAATTGTTTTGATGGAGCCGATGAAATTGATTGTAATTCATCATCATATATGTATTTCACCTGTAACAAATTAATTAATGTGTTTATCTCTTGAAAAAACCTAATGACGGAAAAATTGATTGCCTTGGTACTACAAATGAACCTAAAACTATGTCGTATCGATGGTTATTTACCAATATCTTATAATTTTTATTGTAAAAATCCTAGTGATTAATCTTGTATTTCTTTACATTAATGTTTGTGATCACTTTGAACAATGTATGTAGATAAAATTTCTCAACATTCAACTATTATTCGAACAACTAATAATCAACACTATTGTCATCGTGAACTTTCTTTACGTATTTGGTTAGATAGATAAAAAAATTTGACTACTATTACTTGTCTTTGTCTACCAAGTTTTTATGGTGATTAATGTCAATATCAAAATCAACGAGTTGCACGTACTATAGAATTTCAAGTATTTTTTTCATTTAAAACGAATATCATTCGCTATTGTTATTACACTTATAGATGATAGTGATCGACAAATAATTCATTCATATCAACAACTTACTTATTTATCAATGCAACATTATCAAATAAAATTTAATATATATTTATTTAATTTATTCTACACGACCTAAAAGAAAATGAAAGTCGACATTATTTTATTCATATTATGATTTCTATAATAAAATTTCATTAAATTATCAAGGAAGTATATTATTATCAATTAAGTTTACTTTTCTACCTGTATATCGTATTGCTACTCAACTTAATATACTATATAAGAACAGTATAAATTAATACTTGTTCAGATCATCGTTCTATTCATGATAAATGTATAAAATATATCAAAGATTCGAAAGGTCATAGCTTTTGTCAATGCAATCAAGGATGGTCGGTCTGGTCAATATTGTACAATTCCATATATGTGTAAGTGTGCATCAGATTCGTTATCTATTGGTAAATAATCGATCAATTTGTATATATCCTATTGATAAATGAAGTTCTCAATGTTTACTTTCTAATGAAATATGTCAAACAAATCAAAATACAACATTAGATCATAGTGATAGTCAATGTATACCTCTTGATCTATATATTATATCGAATAAAAAATTTGAATGTATTTGTTCGCAAGATTATTATGGTGATAGATGTGAAATAGTTGATTATAAAATTATTCTATCATTTGAAAATAATACCATTTTACCATAATCAATGTTTATACATTTTATTGAAGTAATAAATATTACTACACCTGAAATTGGAGCTTCAATATCATCTTCTTCATCGTATTAAATATTATCATTTACTATATCAAATATATTCATCAAACTTATTTTGTTTCTATGATGAAGTTCATATTTATTTATATATGAATTATGGTAAAGAATGTCATGCAAATTGTTTTGAATTTAATCATATATTAGTACGAGATTGTTCTGGTCAAAGTAATTGTGAACATGAAGTACAATGTTTACAAGATAGTAGAATATATCCAAAAACATCTGTATGCAGTTGTCTATCATGTTTTCATGAAATACAATGTCAATTTAATTCAGAAAGATTTGATCTTTCATTCGATGCTATTTTAGGTTATCATATTGAACCACATATTAATATTTTAAAACAATTACCAATCGTACAAACAAGTTTAACAATGACTATAATTATAACTCTAGTAGGTCTTGTAAATGGTATTCTATCAGTGATAACATTTTAGTAAAAAAAGTTATATTTATATTGAAAATTTCGATATTTATTATTGTTCAAATAGTATATATTACAAATCGATTATTTCTTTATTTTCAATGTAGATCATTTGATTTTCTATTGCGAATTGATCTTAATATGGATCAATGGTTAAGTGCATGTGTAGCTATTGAAAGAACAATTAATGTATTGAAAGGAATTGATTTTAATCAAAAAAAAAAAGTCAACAATTAGCTAAATATATCATTTTAATACTTCTATTATTAATAATTAGTACAACTATGCATGATCCTTTTCATCAACATTTAATTGATGATGATGATGAGAAACGCATTTGGTGTATTATTAGTTATTCACATAGTTTTCAAATCTATAATTTAATTATTAATATATTTCATTTCTTTGTTCCATTTCTCCTTAATTTGATTTCGGCTATTATTATCATTATAACAACTGTTCGACAACGAAAAATTATTCAAAATCATTAAAGTTATAAAAAAAAAATTTGTACGAAAAATTTAAACAACATAAACATTTACTTTTGACTTCAATAACATTAGTTATTCTTGCAATATTACGTTTAATTATATCGTTAGTTTCAGGTTGTATGAAATCATCTTGTGATTCATGGTTATTTCTTGCTGGATATTTTATCTCGTTTATTCAATATCGACAAATAATACGAACACGTTTACGTCTTGCGTCATAAAAAAAAAAGTTCGTTAAAAAGAAAAAAAGAAAAAGGATTTTTCTCTATTCGATTAATGTGGTCTTATATAAATATACTTTTGTATCTTATTTGTTATAAACAATAATCATTATTAGTTACATCGAAATATTGATTTGATAATACAAGAATAAAAGAGATCAATACATAAAATCTCAATAACACAATAGAACATACCAATGATATGTGCTGACATTTGTGATTGAAAATTGGATAGTTGCCCCAAAGATAAGAGATTCCTTTATTCAAATTCGAAACTTGGTGGCTAGCACATCCTGTACATTTCTTCAGCGACTAGAGTCTACTGAGTTCAAGATTCTTTTTGAACCCAGATCCAACCAACTCGATAGATCCTTCCGTATAGTTAGTATACATTTGAATTCCAATTTATCAAATTTTAACTATCAAAAGCGTTTGAAGTACATTATATTGAAAAGACACCTTTCGAAAAATTTACTAGAACTTGAAATTTATCTATCGCTTTTTTTAAAATGGTAAAAGCACCTATTTCTTTCAATGTTCTTATATAAATGATAATGAATGTAGAGTGAAATCTTACACTGACTTAATCAAACTAAATACTTCAGTTTTTCGTCACTTAGAATTTATGACATATATGACAGTTCACAAAAGAGCCATAAAATGATTACATTATTTATTGACAGACTCATAATATAATAATGATACTCCCACCAGAAAAAAAAAAACTAGAATTTTTTTTTTTGTCTTTGGTCTTATTAAATATTACAATCAATTATGTTGTATTAAAGTGATAATATAGATTAAAAAAATAACAGAATCGATAAAAGTTGATATTTTGTTAATGGTCTATATCTAGTTTTATATCAATGATTTTATTGTATATTTGTCACGTAACACATTGATTATATATAACATTACCTTGAATTCAGTATAATTTATTCGTTTGCCTTTCTCATGTAAATATCATTTCGTTCTTTTTTTTTCTTTTTATTGTATTATTTTTATTTGAGATATGATCATTTCTGAATCAGTACATGATTATTTCAGATGATAGAAAATGTATGTACTTTTAATCACTTTATTTGTAACAAGTATTCAAGCTCAAAATCAATGTGCATGTTCATGTTGTCTTGGTCAAAATTGTCAACCTACAATTGTTGGTACTATTAATGTACAAAATTGTTCAACAGACATATGTATATCACAATGTCGTTGTACATATCCACAATGTGCAGCAAATTATCCATATGGTCAATTACTTGTACAATGTTCATCACCTGTTTATAATTTATTTAATTGTGAATGTAAATGTTGTAATACAGGTATATTTACATGTATACCAATATTTGTTGGTTTTGCTACTTCATATTTATGTGAAGTAAGTTCATGTAGTATAGCATGTAGTCATCAATATTCATCACAATGTGTATCAAATCAAAATGGACAAACTCAAGGTTTTTGTACAGGTCCATTGACAACAACAACAACAACTACAGCTATGAGTCCTTGGTTAGGTAATATATGTACATGTTCACATTGTCAATCAGGTTATATTTGTTCATCAAATCTATTAGTTGGTATAACTTCAGCATCACAATGTTCAACACCGGCTTGTACACAAGCATGTCAAAATCGATATTTATCAACTTGTACACCAACATATTTAAATCAAATTAGTGGTGTATGTTTAAATGAAATGAATGGAAGAACAAAATGTAAATGTAATTGTTGTGGTGGATATGGTTGTATAGATTATGAACTTAATACAAATGAAACTTGTACATCATGTTATGCAAAATGTCTACAAGTATCACCTTGTACAAATACACTTCCAGTAACATATACATGTACTTTAAATAAATCTATGATATTGATGAATTATTCTCTTTCAATTATTATTTTGACATTATTAATTGTTGTGATTTTTAAAAATTAATTATGAAAAAAATAAATAAATAAAATGAGTCATTTTATGATGGTGAAACATATTTACTATCATTTTTAAGAATTATGCTTTTTTTCTTGTTTAAATATATATATATTCAATTCAAGCAGTGTGTACATGTTAAAGAATTTAGCATTAACATATGATAATGTACATACTATTAGATAGAAAATGTCTCATTTTATTAGCCTACACATATAGGAATTTGCGGTCAAAATCTTCCCAGATCGAACCGAACAACCTGTAAAAAAAGTCACAAATGACTTGAAAGTGATGAAAAATGACATTTGCAACGATTATTTTAAAAATATCATCTAAACATTATTAAATAAATCTTAATGATTTTATCTACTATTTCTAGTTGAATCAATTTCAATAAAACCATTATAGTGAGTTACTTGGATGTGAAATGTTAATCTTCTCATTACTTACTCACACCATAACTTTATGATCAATTTTAATCATTTGCTACCTTTCAAATATATTAATAATTTTCTAGTTATTGATTTAATTTGTTTAAACTCTTATAATCAACATAAAAATCTTTTAATCATTATAACATCATATAAAATTTTCTAATAGATCGTTATTTCTTTTTTTTTGTTTTTGGTACATTCATTAATTTTAAGAAATTTATTTGAAACATGAGAAAAAAATAATAATTTAAATACATATACACATAAAGAGAAATAGAAAAATACAACATCGATTTAGTCTTTCATTCATACCATTTGATTTAATTCTAGTTGCCACCATTACCACTAAACTTCTATTAAATAACTTTAAATATAAAATAATTTGATTTTTTTTTTTTTAGATTTGAAACTAAACAATAATTATTCGAAGATCATAATTATACTTCTTCTACATGTGTTCCAGGAAATAAACCGATTCTTCCTTCTAAATCTCCTTTACACCATTGATCTCGTCGACGTTCATGTAATACAATAATATCTCCTTTAAAAACAAAACAAAAAAAAAAGGAAATAAATAAATAAATAAAATAATAATAATTATTTAAACCTTGTTTAAGTGTTAATTCATCACTATGTCGTGCATTATAAGGATATATTACTTTAACACATTTTACTGGTTTTGATTGATAAGGTTCTGTTGATTGTGTCATAAGAACTGGATAAGCTGCTCTAGTTGTTGCCATTTGATTATCTGTATGAACAAAAAAAACAAGAGATTATTTTTATTTTAATATTTATATGAATTCATGTACATATATTAAAAGCAATAAACATGCATATAAAAAAAAAAACATAAATTAATCATATTTCTATTTTTTAACTTACATTGAAAATATGGATCTGATTGTGTAAATTGAAAAGAAAAAAAAAAATAAGCATGTGTTATATTAGATTAGTAAATAAATTTAAAAAAAAAACAAAATAAGTAAATATACATTGAATTTTGTTTTTTGTTAAATATCCCTTTTTTTTTATTTTATTTTTGAGCAACTACCTTATTGATATATATATTCTGATAAAATATAAAACAAGAAGAAGAAGAAGAAAGAGAATATAAATGATTTATTTAAAGCAAATATTTATTATTAATTAATAGAATGTAAATTATTTCAAAAAAATTATTAAAATAACTTACAAGGTATTCTATTAGATTGCAAAACATATTGTCGAGGGACTTTATTCTTTACTATAATGGACAGTTAGTTAAAATAAATTGTTAGGATTTGTTTAATTTTTTTTTTGAAAAACAAAGGATTTGCAAGGACTCGCAGACTGTAAGTAGGTACTAGTATAGATGTATCTCTTCATTTATATTCGTACTCCTTTCAATTTATTATAAAACCAACATAGAAACATCTAAAGAGATTCTTTATTAGTTCCATTGTTAGATAGAATTTTCATGAATAAAAATCGAATGAATTTCTTT